AATAGGAAATAGTAGTAGATGAGGAAGTGGTTTTATTTAGACTGTGGGAAGGCGGTTTGAAATGGAATTTGGAAATGGCAACCAACAACAGAAGACTCAGAGCTGATAAAAAAGGGAAAAAAAAAAAGGATTGAGTCAAAGAAAATTAAAGAATGTTTTTGAAGTATTTTATCTATATAAAATACTTTTTTGACAGAATTAAGTAAAGCATTGGCAATTTGGCATTCAACAAGTAATAGATTACACAAAATGAATGATAAATGTCACTACTAGTCTTAGACAGATTGCTCTAGAAATGAAATGAGACATGGTTTCTACTTAGCTTTCTTTCATTTGTTTATCATAATTTGGGGTTTTGCAGTAAAATTCTCACTTGGTATGAAATGAATCCCAGCAGCACCGATATCTTTCTTAGGCGCCCTCTCCTTGACAGCTCCACCCATTTCTTTTGTATTTAGAATTGGGGCAACAAAAATGGGGTGGCCCATCAACCACACCATTGAGTTGCGTTGGTGGACCACTCTCAAAGTAAGGTGTGGGTCGCATTATGGATCCAGATGCTCCACTTCATAATGCAACTCTTATCTCCCACAATGAACCTTTTTCCTACAAAAACTCTTCATTTTTTGTGTACCCGCAAGCTGTTTTTTCAAAAGTATTTTAAGTAAAAGTACTTGCCTTGCAAGTTGGCACTGCTTTCCAATTCCGCTCCATTTCTTCTCATTCTATAAACGAATAATTTCTTCTTGAAATAGATTTTCTTATCAGAATTAATTCGATACTTACCCAAAAAGTAAAAATGAAAACTAGTTTCTGTACTGTACTGTACGTAATAAAAATATCAACAGTGATGCTGCTGTGTATCAATTCCATCTTTTTGAAAGGAAGGAACCAAAACCAAGCTTGTGATTGTGAAACAGTCCAAATTGCTTTTGCTTTGGTCAAGTTTATATCATGAATTCTTAATGTTTCATCTTCGGCCCTACCAATGATATTCAGTCGATCCCGATGCTGCCAGCTACCTGCCTGCCACATGATCAGATGAGAAACCCAGTTTAACCTAGCTAGCTAGTGGCCTTTTTACTGTGGTTCTTGCAGAGTATGTACATGAAGGCGAATGGAATGCATCCACTTGCAAACTGTCAACTTCACATAGGATATAAAAACCTGAGCACAATTATACGTTTCTTTAAAATGACTTAAAATACGAGGGCAACCGCACGGTACTAAATACACCATCTTCGTTCATATGAATAGAACTATATATAAACTGTACTAAACTGTTAAGAATAAAATGATTTGTTTATTACAATTACGAACAAAATATAAAGCAAAAGTTAAGTTTCTTGGTAATACTGTAAAGTCAAACTTTGTTTCAAAAGTTGATTACAAGCTTCCCTTTTCCTTTATTACTCTTTAGGCTTTTAATTTTTGACCAACAAGGACAAATATTAATCTAAGATCCACAAAAGTAATTACCACAGCGTATATAGTGTCAGTATAAACAGGAAAAATACAATGTATAGAATACGTAGATAGAAGCTCAAAATTTACATCTTTGATTCTTTAAATTCTCAAAGCAATAATTAAAGATGTTCCCTAAATTCAAATCCCATAATCACATTTGTTTAGGAAGTAATTAGAATTAGTTGAAAATGCGCCAGATAGCTCCTAATGAATTCTTAAATCGTCAAAGATTTCAAATTTGACGACTTAGGCAGGCAATTAGGTAGCAGCCAGCCACACATCCCTATGTTGAAATATTTAGAGGAGGGGCCCGTGGGAATCATGTACATAACTTGCGTGGTTACAAAGACATCATCTAACGTTACGGAAGGATCTAATTATATATATTAAGTGACAAAGTATTTTGCTTAATCTTTTGCATTAATTATACAAGGGACCCATTGGCCATTGTCAATGATGATATCTCTTAATCCTCAAATTTAATTTACAAAACCTACTGTCTCTTTGGCTCTCTGTATTTTAGAGTGCTGTTATTTCCACCATCCTGTCCTATTTTCTCACCCACTTTATTTTCCTACCTATCATGTAAATTTGAAGAAATACAATCCTATTTTTCCACCCCCCATTGTTCCTAAAATACCCTTTACAAAATTAAATGAAAAAAAAGTTAATCAAACTCTCTTCTCCAAGTCACCCCCAACCTCTTCCTCTCCTGTTTAAATTAAAAACGAACAGCAAACGGTGTTGATTAAGCAAACATAAGATGAAGAGTCCAAGAAGCGTCACAAACAGAAGAATTTCAGTCCTTATAAGTCATTTTACAATTTTGAGGATAAATTTGCCTTTTAAAATTTTAAGAATAAGGTGGATGGGGAAATATGACAGGGGTGGAAATAACAGCACTTGTATTTTATTGTGGATTGATTAGCAATTGTAATTTGTTAGTGGTGATGGAATTAAAAGAAATTAAATTGAAGGCATCTTTAAGTTTGGGTTTTTAGATCCACATATATGTAAGAGTGATCAGCTTTTGCATTTAATGAAAGGCTGATCAACAAAGAGAAAGAGGATTGTATGTGTATGTCATCATTTGGCCCCCCAAAACTAGACTCTGCACTGCATGTGCTTTCATTTACAACACCTACACGGGTGCTGAAAAAACATCATACATATGATATGTATGTGTTCATACTCTGTTAGCATCCAACATATGAATGATCTTTCCAAGATTTCCAAGATTATATGCCTTTTCTGTTTACACGAACAATTACTTGATCGCTTTATAAGTTTCTGCTAATTATTCTTAGGAATATGTTGTCTGTCTGAATGAATAACCATGAAAATGTTGGTTTGGTTTGGTTCCTTTGTTCATGTTCCAACCACACATTTGAAAGATCACATAATCTTTCTTATTAAGTTTGAGCAAACATTCCAGACTTAAATATATATTCTTGGTTAATTAACCAAAGCCAAAGGTACGTGCGGTGCGATGAGAATGATATGAGTTGTAGGGTTTGTGGTTAATTAGGGCCTCGGATCCTATGATTAACAACACAAGAAAGCAAATAATAATTTAGCTAGGTAAAACGCAACAGCTGTGCACACACAAATCATGGGATACCACTCGCAAGTGTTAAACAAAGAAGAAAAGGAGGAAAAGAAAAGAAAGGGAATCAACATAAATGGGAGTGTATTTTGTTGTGTTTGGGGTTGTGATGGTAATGATGGTGTGTTTGAGTGTGTTTCAAAATGTGGGACAGTTTGTATGGCCCCCTACCCTACCCTTCTCTGTTTTTCTTTTGCTTTTGTGCAGCCTGCTCTGCTGCAAGCTCTCTTTCACCCTCTCCCTTCCCTTAATTTCTTTCTCCTTTATAACTTTCTGCCCTTAAATTCTTTGGCTTTTATTAATTCCCCACACGCGGCGCTCATAATGCAGATTCCAAATCAAACTATGCTGCTAAGTGGTGGGTTAACTTATGCTCCTGCTGCTTGCTTATAGTATTAAGCATGCAGATGCACAAGAAGAACTAATGAGATAATATAATATCACAAGCCAGTTTCTTTATGCACGTTTCATCTTTCATGCGCACTATTAAGTCATTGTAGACATCGTGAGCCTGCATGCCCAAATTTACATATCTTGGACTACTTACTTGAGACAAAAGTAAACATCAACTGGTTTTGATAACGTTATTGATTTTGGACAAATCCTAATCCAAAAAAGAAAAAAACAAAACAAAACGAAGTTCATTGAATTATGATTCTTTAATTTGGACACTACTTGCATAGTCCGTCATCAGGGTCAGCCAGCAGCATCAGGACCAACCATGAATCTGCTAAATTGAGAATAAAGAAACTCAAAAGGATTCAAGGGGACATGACATTAGGCATCCAACCAAAACCAAAAGCCAAAAGTAAGTAGACCAATTAATACATTGAAAGCCGCCCGGTAACATACCACCCTCCCCTCTGTCCCTCTCTGCTAACTTGTTTTACAACAAATTCCAAGCAGCCCCCATTTCCCATAGGCCCTACCTATTGTAGGGTTTCTTGACTCCTCAAAACTTAAATTTAAATCAAATCCAAATGGTGTCATTGGTTTTGCTTTTCCTTTTTCCATGGAAATAGAATGGAATGAACATACAAAGGAGCCCTATTATGCCCGTTTGCACAAACGGAGCAAAATTATGGGTCAAGTTGTTCCCTGGCCACCTGATGATTATTAAATACAAGGATATGGATGGCCTGTTTGATAAATATTTATCCCTTTTCTTATCCAAATTTCCATTCCAGAAATTGTTAAAGCATCACATACATACATACACTATCCCATGCACGAGAGAGGAGAATGTCAAAAATTACATAACCTTTTCTTTTGATAAAACAAAATTACAAGAATTTCTAAAACGTACCAACTAATTATTACATTCTTCGCTATTCACTCGTCGACTTTTACACCAAACTTATGTTCATTCCGAACAATACCAAAACCCATAACCCACTTTGCTATACTCACCAAAATACACCAAAACCAACCAGCTTCATCGTGTGGATCAACACTTTCTTTTCTTCTTATGTATATAAATCATCAAGCGCATATGTCAATCACAGCAGGCCTGTGCTTCCAAATGGGTTGCTAGTTTGTGGGTGAGGAGCAGGAGGATGTGCAGGAAATGCCCCAAACCCGGTGTCACCAAAAGGATTTGTTGGCCCCATCATCACATTCTGCTGCTGCGGCTGGTAGGTTGGTTGGAAAGGACCAAACGGGTTGGACTGTTGTTGAGCCATTGCAGCCATTTGAACTCCAGGTGGGGGAGCAACATTGTTTGACAAAGCAAATGGGTCTTGGACCTCAAACGGATTCGGGGCCGGTGCTCCATAAACAGGTTGCTGAGCAGCCCTATATGCTCCTTCATCGTATAAGCTGTTCAGAGTAAGTGAGTCTAACCCACCAGCCTGACAGACAGAAAACATGAATTAATCAGATTGCAAGCCCTTAT